CTCCCCCCCCCTCCGCCCCCCCCCCCCCCGTCTCTCCCACTGCTCTGACACACTCCCAAGGACCTGACAGAACAGAATCTCTCTTCTTCCTTCAAAGCTCTGCTCTACCAGCTCCCTCCTTTCCCCCTGTGGCCCACTCCAACCCCGGAGAGGGAGAGACAATGACTGAGAGACCCTCACAGAGGTATTTCTCCTCCCCCTCTCTCCCTAAGGAAGAATGGAGAGGGACAAAGTGGAATTTCTCTTCAGCCTCCCTTACCTAATGGCTATAATTTTTGCCCTTCCTCAGGACACCAGCAAAAGAATACCAATGAACACAAACAGCCACCTAATAGGGCAACTTCAGCATCTGTACTAGAAGGAGGGAAAAACGATGCAAATTCCAAAGCCTCAGTCTGTCTGCAAGCGACTTGTGAACAGAGTCACTGGTTGCGACGGACAGTGACAGAGCACCCAGTTTTGCAGTTGGCTGGTTGTTCCTCTTCCCTTAAAAGCAATTCTTGTGGCTCCGTTTACCAGCCCAGGGTGTACGGACTCCAACTTGGCCCCGAAAGGGCTGGTACCAGCCAGAAAGCCTGCTGCCCCTCTGGTGTAGAAAGACCTGGACGCATGTGCTCCTCTATGCCCATGGTCTATGGGAGCAATGCCTAGGGGAAGCTGAATTTTAAGGAGTACTCCTTCCATGAAAATGACAACACTGAGTAGGGAGAGAGACTCCCCCCGCCCAACCCCCCCCAGAGATGACAATCAACCCTGAATAGGGTGAGATATCTCGCAAAATAATAGCTCCCTCCACAATAATAACTGCCCCCCACAATGACGACCCACGTGGAATAGGCACAGAGTGCCTGGGCATGAAATTAGGCCTTGCCAAGCGTCTTTTCTGAGTTAGACACAGCAGTAGGCACAGATGTCATGGGCATTTACTTACACAAACTTGCGAGGATCATACCCTTATGCTCCTTGTACACGGAGAACCTTGAGGCTCAGAGAGAGGAAGTAACTCTCTGAAACTTTCCAGCTATTTGTTTGTCATTCCCTGCTGACCGTCCCACTCACAGCCAGCAGTTCCTTAGAACAGGCGTGGTGCTAAGCACTTCACAGAAGAGTCCTGTTCGACCATCTTTCTGTCTGGTACAGGTGGGGAGTAATGTGCCCATTTTCCAGGTGAAGGAGCTTCTAGGACGGGTTAAGTAACTTGCCCAGAGTCACTCAGGTAGAAAGTGTTTGAGGGGGAATTTGAACTCTAATGTACTATGTGACCCTAGCTCTTGCTAATATCTTATAATGCACAGAGAAGCACGCACTCACACGCAGAGTATTGACGAGGAGACAGCGTCATCTTGAAAAGAGCCTTAGATTCAGAATTTAGCTGTGCTGTCTCCTTTCTATTCAAGCCGGCCGTGCACTCCTGGGCATAATGCTGTCCTGATCTGTTTCCTCATGTGTGAAATGGAGGTGGTTTGAAGCTCCCGTGAGATTATAGATGGGGAAATGCTTCATCTAGTTGCCCTGAGGGCTGCTTCTTCCTTGAACCAAGGTGGAAACACACGCACGCTCCATCCTCTGATAGCACTCCTTGGGCACATTTGGGGAGCCATTCTTGTCCCCTTTTCTCCCCGCTTAACGAGTTCAAATGGTCAGGCTGGCCAGTCATGCAGGTGCAAGTGCGTGAGACAAGAAAGTATGTCTGAACCCAGGCATCATTTCAGCAAAATGTTGCTTTCTGTTTCAGGCAGGGTAAGAGAAAAGCCCTTTAAAATTCCCATTTAAAAGGCTCCTCTGACATCAAATAAGTCTCACAAAACAACATTTTAATGATTTAAGTGTAAATGAATCAGAAACACATGGACCACGTTTCTCTTGGAATACACTAGGGTTTCAAAAACTAAAGGAGAAAGAACTTGGCAAAATGCATGCAGCACTGTGCAGCGGTCCCTGCCCGGTAGACATTCACTAGATTTGTGCCCAGGCTGAGCTCAGCCTCCTCACTAACGCTGGGAGATGCCGTCATTTGTCCTGGTTGTGGGCACAAGGGGAAGAGCTTGGGGGAGAATGCCATCAGCTTCCCCTTGTAAAGTGTCGTAGAGCAATGAGGCCTCTTGGAATAATTTCCTAGCCAAGACTGCCGGTGTTCAATGGGAGGCATTTGAAATATGTTCCAAGCCAAACGCCTGCCAATATACAGCAGATCTGATCTAAATGCTTCCCTGGGAGTGGGCCAGGCTCAGACGAAGACTGGATGGCAACAACTGTGTGGCTCAGTCATGGATCTGGATGTGATGCAGGGCAGCTTCCCAATGGGCTGGGCTGCCTCTGTGACATCGTCCTGGGCTTCTGGTGCAGACTCCCTGAGTGTCATGGGACAGATCAGGGGCTGTGGAGGAAGGTGAGGGACATTGCTCTGGGACCCGGAAACCTCGACTCAATGGCTGTAGTCTAACTTGCATGTGATCTTAAACAAGTCACCTGTTTTCTTTTTTTATTATTATTACAATGTTTAATCCAGTCATGTTTAATTAGATTGATGATACAACTTGTCTTACACCTACTATTTACCTATCTGATATATATATTTCCCCTATATAATGCATATATATCTCCCCTTTATAATACATATATATTTTTCTTCTCTCTCTTGTACCCTTACATGACAGATCTTGGTTCTTATTTTTTTCCCCATTCCCCTGCCCTCCCTTCACCCCATCAACCCTCCCCTATTTACAAAGACTTTGTTTCCATTGTTTCCTTTTCTCATATTTTTCTTTTCTCCTTTAGCCCTTTTCTTCCTATTTTACATTAAGTCACCTGTTTTCTTGAGGAACAGGGAGGACATGAATCTGTTCACCTGCAGAATAAGAGTGTTGGACTCTGTTGAGCTGTTGGAGTGTCTGTGTGGGTGTGGGGACGGTGGAATGACATCTCAGTGAAGGTGGCGAGGTGGGCTCCTAATGTGGACAGAGATATAGGCAAACCAGAGCAGACCCCACAGGCTGACACTGGCTTTCTCTGCCCTCACAGCATTGCTACCATTATTCAGAATTCAACCACAGATATTCGGCGAAACAATGAAAGAATCCCACTAGTTCATTTATTTTTATTTTTATTTTTTAAGTCTGGCCCCAAATGGTTTACAGATGTGTACAAGGAGCTAATTGTTTGCTGTTTAGACTCATAAAGCATAGAATGACAGAGGTGGGCTTGTCGCCCTGGGGTTATAGTCAGGGAAAAGTGTCAGGAAGCCAGCTAGCTACTCAGGAGGGCCCATGCCACAGCATTCCCTACACTGGAACATTTTGGTTTACATGTTCTACCAAAGTATTTATTTTGTGTGACTCCTGAGTAAGTTTCTGGAATTCCACGAATGTGTCAGGAAATGTGAAGAATTTGGGTAATGTGTGTGTGCGCGTGTGTGTGTTTAATGGCAACATTTTGAAATCTAGGTTCCCTATAGATGAGCTAAGAAACTGGTGAATCACCCGCAATCACAGATAAGAATCAAACTCTGGATCGTTCAGCACATTAACAGAAATTACTGCTTCTGAGCTTCTTCCTTCAGTTCATCAGAATAAGGTGGGAAATTAAAAAAAATGCAGATCCCTGAGCTTTGTTCCAAGAAATTCAGATTCAACCAATCTGGGTTAGAGTTCCTGAATATATAATTTAAAAAATGTCTTCTGGCACTATTTTGTTCTTTTTTGGGGTGAATATAATATAGTGGTGCATCTTATAATTGATGGTGACTTACATTTGCCAAAAAGGTTTAGTACATACGAAGCACTTTCATATACATCATTGCATGTAATGTTCACATTTTTTAAAACAGATGAAGACACAAAGATCCAGGGAAATCAAGTGTGCCTATAAGTGGATGATGAATGTGTAGAGCCCAGGCCCTCTTACCCTCAATATTAGGACTCTTTCCTCTCATCTGCAGACTTCTGTTACATCTGTTAGACCTTGAATGTTAAAGAGACATGCCAGCATCTAACTGTAATATTTTCAGGGAAGGAAAGGTAGCTTCTATTAAAAAATAAACTACAAATGTTAGGTTTTATTACGGGTTGAATTACATCCCTTCTCCCTCCCCGATCCCAAAGAAGTCAGATATTAAAGTCCTAACCTCTGATGACGACTGTGTTTAGCTTTGAAGGAAGTGACTTAAGACAAACAAGTCTTCAGACTGGACTTCCACCCAGTGCGACTGGTGTCTTTATAGGAGGGGATTAAGGCAAGGACACACAGAAGACCACAGGAAGATGCAGGAGGAAAATGGGCACCTGAAGACCCCAGAGAAAAGCCTCAAAAGAAACCAAACTGCCAACACCTTGATCTTGGGCTTCTAGCCTCAAAAACTGTGCAAAAACCAACTTCTGTTGTGTAAGTCACTCAGCCTGCAGTAATCTGGTTCAGGTAGCCCCAGAAATTACTATTCCCTCCACACCTCTTTGCCTTCGGTCACCTAAGTCCATTTTATGCTGGTTATATCCATTAGACCGCCCTCTTCTCATATTGTCTCCCCTCTCCCAGAAGTTTCCCAGATGCCTGGTCCACCTGAATTCAGCAGTCCCGTCCCCGGGGCAGGAAAAAGGGGGTTATATGGTACAAATGTTAGCTGGGGTCCCTCTGGGGGGCACTAGACTCAGGGAGCAGTCGGGGTCCTAACTTCCCTTCCTCTGTTTCATGACCAGTACTTTCTCATTCTCTTTCCAGATGCCCCTTCTC